AAAAAAGTTTATAACAGAAAATAGCAGAGAAGAATGAAAATATGCTTAAGTAAAGGAAGAGGAAAAATATACAGTCAAAAAATAGTTAATATGACATTTTAATTTGTAAGTTATCAAGGTTTCATACAAGTTTCATGTTCTTTATCTTAATTGATTTTAAAAGCTTATTTTAAAAATAAAAAAAAAGATAAAAACGAGAGCACAATTTTATTCTACACTCTCACTGGACTTTAAAAACGTATATCTGACTATATAATCATTCGTGATCACAGATTTTTGGTGTTAGATTTGGGGGTGTCGTAGATAGCTGAAAAAAAAAAAACCTTTTATTTCTTAAAATAGAAGAAGCTTAAAATTGAATATTTTTTTGTCTTTTTTCATATTTTTATTCAAAAGCGACTGCTAAAATTTCGGTAAAAGAAATCTTTCTAAATGCTAAAATGATTACATAAATTATTAATTGAAGCCATAGTAAAACTTTTAAAAATTTTAGCTTTTCTTTTTTTTCATAGCTGTTATTACTTTCTTTTCTTCAATTAAAAGCATTACTGTATTAAAGTTTATTAAAGTTAGAAAATACTTGCCGAAAACCAGAGAAAAAGAAAGAAAAAAAGGAAAGAAAACAACAATTAAAGATTTTATTCAATAATCATTTACTTAGCAAAAAGATAATGTAAAAAATCGCTTGTTGTAACCCATTAATTTGGTAACTTTTTACCGCAGCAAATTGATGGTAACGGTAATTATCAAATAAAAGTTGCAAATAATTTTTCTTTTTTCTTGCTGGCAATATTTATCCCTTTAGCTATATTACTTGACAAAGTTTCTGAACATAAATAGGTTAATAGTGTATGCATTGGTGTAAATTACTTATATCGTCTTCAGAGAAAGTTTTGCTCATTTGATGTTTTGCCGACTGTTTTTTTTCTCTCTAAGTTTTTTTTTTTTTTGTTCTTTTCTGTCTTTTTTTAATATACAAAAAAATTTTTTTTTTGTAGTTAAAACTTTGACTAATTATTATTTCAGTTAGTTAATTGATTCTGCAAACATCTGTTGACAAATTTGTTGACGGTACTGTCGGCTTTGCTAAAGTTTCTTTTTTTTTTTTTTCGCGGTACAAATTAATCACAATAATCTGCGATTCAACTATATGAGGACACTTGATGTAATGCTACATATGCCTTCTGTCTGCTGAACCAGACTTCCAGTTATCAGATTTTCTCAATTATCACTTTTTTATTAATTCCTTTTCCTTTCCTCTATTCTGTTTGCAGTATATTATTTGTTCACAGAAGAAAGCAGAAGTAAAAAGTCAACCGAACAGTTAACTCAAAAAACAAAATAATCTAGAATATTTTTGTTTCGTATAGCAAACAGTCGAATGTTGACAGCTTCATCAAACTATCAGTTTTAAAACTATCAGAAAAAAAATATACTATAAATATATATGAAAAAATTTTTTCTTCAGTTATTTTATAAAATAACCTACAGCTTTGTCACTCTCAATGATATACGCAAAAAAAAAGATCAATTTATTGCTAAACAATTGTTTTGTGAAACAGCAATTTGAATACACGAATTCCTTCACCAAAACTCAACCATGGGATTTGATATGGTATTGCTGAAAAGTGATAAAAACTGAAAATTCAGATTACAAACAGTAGAATTCTGTAAACAACAATCGAGCTACTGAAAACCGTGTTATGCGTGACTCAGAGAATCTTGATGCTTCAAAAGCGTCGTCAATGATCGTTCACTTAACACCTTATTGTTAAACTGATCTGAATCACAGTTACACACCG